GAGAGAGAGAGAGAGAGAGAGAGAGAGAGAGAGAGAGAGAGAAACAGAGACGCAGAGAGAGAGAAGCCGCAGGACGCGGCCACGCTTTACTGAGGAAACGTGGGCATGGAGAGGGGGGTCTATGATAACAAGTTGCGTGCACAACGCGGTGACGGTGGTTTTAGGCGTGGGTATAGTGCGTGGTGGCTTTTTGACGTCGTTTGTTTGCCGCTGGTGGTGATCTACTGAGAGTTCAGGGGTGGCCGACGCCAGCCACACACTCAGTAACAGGTGAGGCCATACGACGATGCTTGCTTGAAAACGGTGCCTGCATCGACTGTCAGCGGTCCTCATGGTGATAAGGCCTGTGAAGTACCTCTACCACTTTTAATTTAGTTCGGTGACGAAGACGGTGGCGGCGACGCAAGCTAACCCCACCTCCCCCCTCTCTCTCCGTTTCCCCTCCTCGCTCGGCCCTTGCACACGCTACACCGCACCCCGCCACACCAAACCGCACCAAACCGTACCAAACCGTACCCAACCGTACCGCAATGCATCCCACCGCACCCCACCAAACCGCACCGTTTATCACCGCACTCTACCCCACCGTACGCTACCACAACAGTTCGAGTCCGAGCTGTACGACGAGATCTTCGGGGAGAAAGATCGCCTAGCGGGGAAGGCCAAGGAGCAGCGTTCCCGAGGCCGCAAGTACGGCACGCACGCGCTCGCCGCTCACCTCATCCGTGGCAGCGGTGGAGGGATGGTTTCTGGCGCGGGGGGGAGCAGTAGCAGTGGCGGAGGCGAGGACAGCGGTGAGGTCGGCGGCGGCGAGCGCGGGGGGGAAGCGGGGAGTGCTTCCGCTCGTCGTGTTGGGGGGAACGGGGCGGCAGGGAGCATCAAGAACAGGTTTGTCTTGTCCCTCGTGTGTCGTGTGTCGTGTGTGTGTTTGTTTGTTGTGTGCGGGTGGGTTTCGTGTGTATGCGTGTGATGGGTACACAAGGAGATGGTAGAGAGACGGCAGAGTGTGCGTGTGTGTCTATTGGCCACGAGCGGACGGGTGTGTGTGTGTGTGTAATGGGTATATGCAGACGGTAGAGTGGCGGTAGGAAGAGTGTGTGTGTCTCTACTGAATAAATGCAGACGTGGTGCTCGTTTGGCCCCTCTTCGCATGCATTTCGTTGGCGGGTGGGGTGATGTCTTGAAGCCCAAACTCCTTCACCGCAACCCATCCTCCTCGCCCCCAACCATCGGACACTTGACCCGAAATGATGGGGACGTCAGTTTTAGCCGCTTCGATGGCATTCGAGCGCACCGATACAATCGTCTGAGCGAAAACGAAAAACGTTGTTTTTTTCAAGAACTTTAGTCGTTGTTTCGATCACAACTCTTGCATGATGATACAGTCTCGCCTAAACGCGAAAAAGCTGATTCGAGGAGGAAAGCATTGCTCCATGGCAAACTCTCACGTACGTGTTTTGACACGACGACGATGACGATGACGGGGGTGGCAGGGAAGAACAAACGTTTGCCGAGGCAGCGAGGGGCATCCTCCGGCGGGCGGAGGAGCGGCGGATGAAGGTGGAGCGGGTGGAAGAGGACGGCGGGGCCTTCTCGGCCAACCCGCGGCACCCGGTCGGCTGGGTCGGAACGTGAGTGAGAGAAGCAGCTGCTACCGCCCGTGGCCGCTGCCCTGCCGACTTCTCTCTGAGTTCGCAGCAGCAACAAGATGATGATGATGATGATGGTGATGATGATGATGGTTTCTTGGCGCAGTGGTTCTACGTGTATTTTTGTTTTGCCGGTCGTTTTCGCCACAGCAGCTCCAGTTTTCTTTCGACGAAGTGTGTAGCTAGTGTATATCTAGGCGTGTCACCCGTATCCCTGCTATTGCTTTCTCACCGCATGGAGTTTCATGTTATTTTGGTATTTGTTTAGCTGTTTGTGTCTTCGAAACCCCGGCACTTGATCGGCTGGGTGGGTGTGACGCAAAGAAGACATCGTACAGCCAACACAGCCACTGGCAGCCTTCATCTCTATCTGCGGTGCCCCCCGGACATCATTGTAGCGGGCACGGCAGCTCCTGTGTACCCGTCCATAACATCTTGGAATCTCAAAAGCGGCTGCTTGACCCCCACTCATCGAACGCACCACAGCAGGGGTCTAGACTACATCCACCCACAACAGACAGCAAGCAGTCCGACCTCGCACGATGGACTGAAAAACCCGCGTTTTTTTTTTTTTACAGTTTCACGGAGACTTTCACCCACGCGGAGCGGAAAGAGGAGGCCCTCAAGCGGCGGGCCGGAGAAGCGCGCTCCCGAGAGCGCCGCCTGAAGCGCCGGGAGGCCGAGCGACTAGCTGCAGTAGCGGCAGGAGGAGGAGGAGGGGCAGCCCCTGCGGGTAGCAGTAGTAGCGACGACAGCGGTAGCGCCAAGACGGTCGCCATCCCGAGGAGCATCGACAAGCCCAAGGGGGGCTTCGACGCTGCGGCGGAGAGTGGCGGCGGTGACGGCGCTCGGCGGCGCGGGCGGGTAGGAGCGCTCTCGGCCCACAGGCGGCGAGGCGGCGGCGGGGGCAAGGGCGACGGCCGAGCGGCGGCGGTGGCTGCCGGTTCGAGGCTGGAGCCTCGGCGGAAGCCGGTGCTGGTGAAGACGGGCGGCGGCGGCAGCGGGGTCCAGGGGTCGCTCTCGGAGGAACCGTCGCCGGTGCTTGAGGCCGTCGTGGCCGGTCTAAGGCGGAAGGGGAGCAACAGCAAGGGGAGGAGCAGGAGGGGCAGCGGGCTGAGCGCGGTGCCGTCCCAGCCCTTGGTGAGGAGGAAGGGGAACGGCGGGGGCA